CGCGCGCGCGTGGACGGGGCCGGGGGGTGGGAGCCGCAGCCCCCCGTCTCATCCACCCTCGTCTCTGGGAACCGCCGAAGCCGACGCGCTCCAGACGCGTCTGTTTTCTATCTCCGCTTCGCTGTCCCCTCTCTGGAGGATGGTGGGGTTTGGGGACCCAAGGGAATGGCTAAGAACTGGCGGCCGTGCTTCTTCTAGATGTTTTCTCTGGCAGGCAGGAGAGCTCCCAAAAAGCACATCAACAGATGGAAAAGCAAACATCGAAGCCGGGCAGATGCTGCCAAAGTTTACTCCAAACAAGGAAGTCGGGGAAAGTCACCACGCCCACTTCCTCCCGGCGACTGTCCTCTTCGCTAGCCCGGAGCCCCGATAAGATGACTTCTCGGCGGCCTCTGGCCATGAGATAATTATCAAAGGAACCCACATTTGTAGCCAAGCGCTTTACACAGAGGCTCTAAACTGCATGGCTTGTTCCAGCCCTTTTCTATTTGATTTTGGCCAAATATGAGACTCTTGGAATTTGGAGAGGTGGGCGAGATTTTACCAGTCCTAGAGCTATCTCTGTTGTTTCAGAAAGGGAAACTGAGGCCGAGAGAGGCTTGACTGAGGTCCCACAGCTAGAACGTGGCAGCGTTTGGACCTGGAAGTTTCATTTTATGACACCAATTCAATCATTTGGTCCTCCCAGGATCTGAAACGACCGAGGAGGGCAGGGTTTATACAGAGAAAACCATTCCCCTTGGAGGGGTTTATAGCCGCACTGTTCCCTGTCAGGGCTGGGGAGCGCCTATGAAGAAACCAGAGCTCGATGCCCTGGCGGAGTCCACCCCATGTCGCATATGGAGTGACGGCGCTTTCTATGCTCAGGCTACTATGGGGCTACAATGAAGGTAACCACATTTGTGACGGAATATGACACAATTAACAAACATTTGTCAGCATTAAGAGAGTCAATCAGGTATATTCCTAAGTGGTTCCGGTTGAGTTTAGGGAGCAGCGAGTCCACATGTCTTCAGAATCTGACTAATATCAGAAACCATCTCCGAAAAAAGACACATATACACGTAGGTGCAGTATTCTACAAATGATTGCAGGGGAACCATAAAACCCTCAAGCCCACTGGAACCCAGGCTGATGAATGTCTCAGGAATTGAATCTTCCTCAACTGGGTTGTTGTCGTTGTTGTTGTTTTAGAAATGGATTTTTTTTTTATGCCCGCTGTAGTTGGAACTTCAGTTTTAAATTCCCTCAGGGAAGATCTAGAACCCAGTCACATAGATTGGGTCAACGGCAAGATTAATTAATCCAAAAGGCAATGAATGGGTGTCATGGACCTCATGGCACATCTCACTTCGAGAGCCGAGGAGCTCGAACCCCAGGTGCTCCCTGAGACAACTGGTTACAACGTGACAGCATGAAAAGGGCTCTAGGCTGACAGAGCTGGGTCTGAAATCTGCTCCGCCACTTACCAGCTATGTGGCCTGGAGCAAGGTGCTAGACTTCCCTGAGCCCTTGCTTCTCTCATTCTTCAGTGAAGATGAAGTAAGAGGAAATGGGAGAGACCAGGCATGTAATGGGCATTCAGTGACTGCAATCACCACATGACTCCCCGTTTCATTATGTAGACACTGTGGAAAATGCTTCTCTGTGCAATAGTATGTTTTCGTTATTGTAATCAACATTAATTTTATAAGAAAATTTTATGTATAATATTACTATATATTTTAATATAGTAACTATAATTTTCTTATAGTTTTCATTTTCTCTATTTCTCCCGCTTTTCCAAACCTTTAGCAGAAGCACATGACTTCTTTTGTGTCACTGTAAGTCTCGGCATTAGGAGCCTGAAAGCCCTCGATTTTAGTCTCCGATAGTAAATTATCAAGAAAAAAAAATATCCTAATGCAATGGAAATTTTTCCTTGAGTCAGTGAAATTAAAACTCAGTATTTAATCATTCTTAGCAGAAAAGCTTTTGAAATATAATCTGTAAAAATAATAACAATGTGATCATTTATCTGTCCCCTAAAGACTGGTAAAAATAACTTGCCTGAACAATTAGAACTGTTTTTAAACTGCTTTTCCCGGAATCATTATCTCCCTCCCTGGTTTCAGAGATTGCACACCTACAGAACCACTAAATGCACTGCTTCAAGTGCGAAGTCTTAAAGCAGCCTTCTCAGTGTGGGGCTCTTTCACCAAACCAAGAGAAGCTGAATGCTAGTGTTACATAAGCCAAGAAAGACCGAGTTCAAGACCAAGATCAAAAGAAGCATTGCTTCTGCTCGCTCTTCCAGAAATGCTCCTTCAAGAATGCCTGTGAAGTAAGGAAACTAAACCAAGTCAGCCAAGCGGCTGTGTGTGTGGAGCAGGTGTGTGCGTTAGAGCAGGGGGTCAACAAACTAGTGCCTGCAGGTCAAATCCAGCCTGTCACCTGTTTCTGTAGGGTCTTTGAGTTAAGGATGGCTTTTACATTTTTAAGTGATTGGGAAAAAATTCTAAAGAACGTGTCTTGTGACACATTAAAACTATATGAAATTCACATTTCAGTCTCTACAAAAAAAGTTATATTGGAACACAGCCTCGCTCATTCATTTACCTACTGTCTATGGCTGCTTTTAAACCAGAAAGCAAAGTTGAGTTGTTGTGCCAAAGAAATACTATCTGATCCTTGACAGAAAATGTTTGCTGACTCCTAAACTGTTGTAAATACCTTACGCCTGTCTGGGCTTGGATAACTTCTCATTTTATTACATTTACTTTAAAATAAGTTTAGAAAGGAAATGATCTTTTAACTACTAGAGTGGATTCTTACAAGGAAGGCACAGTGACTAATGTTTGATGAAGGAAGGAAAGGAACAATACACATATGAATAGTTTGATCCAGTCATTAGCCAAGATTAATTAGATGAAGATTAGTTTCTCCCAAGATGTAATGCGTGACCCTGGCTTCATCCCAAGAAAGTAGACTGGGAACTGAATTTAGCGCCTAAATTGGTTTGTAGCTCGTGGAACAAATAATGTCCTTCAAAATATAACTATATAGAGAAAAATCAAAACCTGGCAGAAGATTCCTCTGACGCAGGTGCTAATACGTCCTTTGATACTCCCTATATCGGGGGTATCAGGGGCTGACACCTGTTTCTCTATAAGGGAAAATGTGTCGATGATGAGAATGTATTGCTCATTGGTTTTTCACCCTCTAGAAAAATATGAGACACTGTCTGTAGCACTTGTTATCACAAAGTCAGCTTTCTAAGAAAGTAACTTTTATTTATCAAACCTAAGAGAGGACAGCTCCTCAGCACTTCAGTAATGCATTTCAACCATTCTCAGGTGAGAAGCATCTATCATGTGGAATTCTCCCAACAGCCACTGGTCCAAGAATTATAAACCCAGGTTGTCCCAATAAGGACACCCACTGGGCTCTCTGACAACCACTCCAGATGCTGGGAAGAGCCCCCTGGCATTCACGGGATCACAGAGATGGCCGCAGGCAATGGAGGTTCTGAACTGCAACCTTGCTCCTCTGTCTGTAATTCTATCTGGTAGAATCCAGATAGGACTTAGGAGTATCTTTGCTGAGCATAGGAATTGTGAGAGGTGAAGAGAAAGTTCCAGTACATTCCAAGCCCAGTTCTAGCCAGCATCCGAAAATCAGCTACTCCCAAATTCCCTGAGATGCCCACGTACCTTACACTATACTCCTTTTTTGTGAGTGACACAGCATCAAGGAGTTTCCGTTGCTTGCAATCAAGAATCCTAACTCATCCACCAAAAACATTCCCTACAAGGAGGGATGTAGAGGAGGAAGAAATGAACACAGAAAGGAGGAATTAAACTAACATGACTGAGGCCAACTATGCATGAGGCAGTGTGCCGACCAAGAAACAGCCCCTGCCTGTAGGGACTTTACAAGAAGAGTGAGCCCCCGGAATAGCCTGTGGAAGCAGAGGTCCCGATGAGAAAGCGTCTCAGAAAGCCGGCACCTGTGGCTGAAATTCCTCTTCAGCTGTCACGAACGCCTTTCTCCACTCCATTTTCCTTCTACCTCTCTGCTTCCCTACAGCCCATTCCTTGTTTCTCGTATTAATTAGGCCGAGGGATGTCAGAGACCATCGACATAAACAGAAAGAATAAAAAGCAGGGTTACTACACACCTGAGGGTCTGAGGAAGGTGCCAGAACGATGCCAAGAGGCCCCGATGGAGATTACAGAATTCTATTTGCACAATGGGGCAATTTTTCTTTGTGATGGGGATGGCTTCCTATCTATTCTTCAACTTTTTTCTAAGTTTACATGTTATTAGTTCATCTGTGAAAGTGACTATTTTTCATGCCTGCCTTCTGTGTCTCAAAAAATATTAGCTGAGATACTCCCCGACTAATGCCTTCCCCATAATAATAGGCAGCAAATTAGAGTAAATTAAATTTCATTTATTTTACACTAAGAACTTGGGTAGAAATTCCCGATAGCTTTTGCAATTAGGAGATATTTGAGAACTGGACACACTCTTCAGTGGGGATAAGGGAAAGCAAAATGACTGTCTTGAATTTCTTTTTCATAATCTGGATCATCGAACCTGGAATATTCCTCCCCCTCAGCCCACCTGGTTTGCCTGGAGACCTCCTCATCATGCTTCAAGTCTCTGCTGATGTCCCAGGTCCTCCGGAAAGCACTGCCTGCCTGCCGGCCCTTCCTGGAGGAAGGTGGCCACTCCACATCAAGCCCCGCCGGACCTCATTCTGCATCTCC